TGGAAAACGGTGCCTTTAGATTATACATATTCGAAAGAACCAACCAATGACTCAAAGCCTCTCACTGAGGCAAAGTCGAACAAGCGTACGTCATATATTGCTTAACTTGACTATTTCTTCAATGATCAGGTGAGCTCATCAATGAAGAATATTTGTGCTATTAAGTCAGTTACCGCATTTGGTCAATGGGGTTACCTCTCTATGTGCCTAAGGCCGTAGTTTCGGCGTTAATATGCCCCTGAAATCGCGTTATTTTTTCCTCTCCATAAACTGAAATACTAATGTCCAAGTTATGTTTATTCGATGGATATTTATTTTAAGACACTTTAGTTCCATATCGCTTAGTTATGGCCAACAACGTTAATAAAATCCTTTAATCCTATTTTTCACGTACAGTTAATGTTCTTGATAAGAATATTATAGAATTTCGTTTCGAGTGTTCTGCCCTAATCCTAACTCATACAAATAACTTAAATTTACAATTATTAAATAGTACAAAAATCGATTTGATTAGTTAATTGGTGTGTTTGGTGTCTTTTCTTTATTGTAGAACTAGATTTGGTTCACGAACTACTTAAGGTCGAATTTATCACGTGTTTTAATTCCCTATTGTAGTTTACTGCAAATGTTGCGTTTTCTTAGTTTTTAATGCGGAAGGGATCGTGAGGGTCTTGTGATTAGAATTTTGCTTACCGCAATGGCATCGAGCTATGAATCCGTTGAAATGAGCACAGCTTCTGTGGAGAAAGTTTTGGAGTCAGTGATTTTGCAGGTGTCTTTGTTAGATGCAATTGATGGGGCTGAAAATCGTCCGAAAGGACTATCGCGCAATAAAGATACTATTATTGACACAATCGGGGCTGTAAGTTTAAATTTTATGATGTTGAAAATAGGGATTTGGTTACAGTGTCTAAGTAGCATTCTCTGAATGCTTGCATTTCACAACTTAGAAAACATACCAATTTTAATGTCGATTATAAGTTTTTCTGTCCTGGTAGCTGAGTTGATTGCAACCTGTTACGTTAGTACAATAAACCACATTGTTTTTTGTACAATAGTATCATTGATTCTCAAATCCACTGCTCCTAAATCCCATATGAACAAGTGTCTTGGCAATTTGCTTCTTTTTCTATTACACATGTGCTTTAAAACACATTTTATTTTTGGTGACATACTTAAGTGAGCTTTTTCTTGGCTATTTAACTTTTTATTATTTGTAACATTTTAATCCCCGAAACCTGAACATTATTACATAAACACATAAAGCAGTCACCAGATGTGATCATCTTACTTGTGTTATTAAGGCAATAAGGGAATTAATAAAGAAAGGAGAAGAAGTTGCTCAAAAACATTCTGGTGTAGCAGAAAATTTTCAAGTTTCACTGGCTGATATCCGAGTTATTGGAGAACACTTCCATAAGTCAGTGGGTTTATTTTTGGACAATCCGGCAGATGAAGGAATGCGCGAAGTACTTTCACAAGCTGCCCGTGGTCTCCTATCTTCTGTGACTCGGATTGTAATACTTGCTGATTTGATTGATGTTAGCCAACTTCAGAATTGCCTTGAAAGCATCAGACGTGACGCAGAATGTCTAGGCCTTTTAACCGACGAAAGAGTAGGTTTTTTTATGCTTTTTATGCCATAACGGCGCTATGGTGGATTTCTTATGCGAATACGTACAATATTCTAAATTATATAGTGACTGTTTCTTAAATTAGCCTAAGGCTAATAAGTGGCTTACAGTTAAAGGGAGACAGAAAAATCCACCTATTTGACATGTATAATAGCAAAAAGCAATAATATTCCACTAAACTTGCGATCGGTTAAGGTTCCATCGATTAGTTACTGGGTTTAAAGAAGCATCTATTCGATATCAAATAAGCGATTTAAGTGAGTTCGACTCAAGTTGAGGCAACAACCAATTATTGGACGTGGATTTGTCTTTGTAAAAGTCCGAGGCTTCTGACCTATGCGAATTTGAAGCGTCAGTGTCAGTGTATGGGACTCTCTAAGAGTCGCATTATTTAATCAAGTACGCGAAGCGTAGACATGGTAAATCTAAGTTCCCTTTAGATGCTAGTAGAGGTTTAGGAAGCTGTAGGTTTAACTCGGAGCTTATCAGCTAAATTGGCCTGGCAAACGTAACCTAACTAAAAATCTTTTGAAATTTTAAAGTTCAGTTAAATTTGAAGCGTAGGCTAAAGTTGAGGGTTAAAACGTACCGTTTTAGGAGCTCATCTCTTCATGCACCCTACTTGAAAATCATTTGGCAAGACTAGAGGCACTTTTCAAGAACCGGATCCATACTCTTTTCAACAACGTGCATCGAGATGACCTAACTAGTGCCCATGCGACTCTTTTAATGGGATGCAAAATGGTCATCAGCTCTACCAAGGTAAATCTTAAAGTTTGCTAATGAAAGCTGGATTTCGGGCTCAATACGAAGCAAGCACGAAATCTGACTTGATATTGCACACAATCGTATCCCTTACTGATTTCATTTTTTGCGACTTGCAAACTGGCTTAAATCGTTTCAGTGGCTAGAATCGCCAGCGATGATATCCAACGTAAAGTAACAATCAACGTCTGTTACAAATTTGGCCTTTTCACTCAAGTCAGCTGAGTAAATCCTTGGAAAACATTTTGTGCAACACGGATGAACCAAGTCACACTAAATAGGCCTCATTTCTGCACACATTTGATATCAATAAGTAGCCAAACTTTGTATTCTGTATCTACAACTCGTCAGGTGTATGGAATGAATAAGTGGCAAATAAACTTTACTAAAGTTGCTCCTAAGCCTTGCTTTAAAACCGACAAACTAAAGCGTAAAGATGCAACCAGAGAGCGCCTTCTTATAAACCTTCAGCCAGATTTTTTCTACCTATAATCATTGGACTCGCTTATTTTGGTGCACCGATAGGTACTCTTTCCGCATTTGTATTATGACACTGAATATGTTTGCGGTGATCAAGCATAAATCAAAAGTAAGACCACATACTACTGTTGATATAAGTAAGTAAACTTAATTTATACCATGACATAGTATAGTGGTAACAAGTGTCCAGAGCAATTCTCTGTGTCTACCGAGCTGCTTGTTTGATTGTTGATTGCTCTAGCGGAAGAAGAAGGTGGGTTTATATGAAATTGAAACTTGCATCATGTCATGGATATTACCTTTTTTCTGTTTCAATAAATTAAAGTCTGCTCAATACATCGACTGCTTTGTGCAATTTGCTTTCTGTAGGCGAACCTTTTGCATCCCGATATGGCGACGGTGGATGCTTGCCGCAGCTTTGCAGTTAGTTTTACATGTGAGGCTGTAAGTCATTTGGAGTATCTATGTGGCAACTCGCGCGCTCAGGAAACGCTTCCTCCCTTACACGGTCAAGCTTTATCGCGACTGATGAACGAACTTGTGGTATGTAGGTTCTCGCATATTTTGAATCCTTTAAGGACCACATTCTGAGTCAGACTTTTATAACGATTGCAGAAATTTGCACAAACAGGGCTCAATAAAAATGAATCGTGGAATGGCATTGTGTTCCAGAGTTATGTAACTAAATTGACTAGCGAAATCTCAGCCTTAGTACAAGCTGCTGGCTTGGTGGATCAGCACCAAACCGAAATATTTCGTCTTGTTCAACAGCTTGACGAAGCTGTTAATCGGTTTATTGAAGCCTGGGAGTTTGAGGTAAGTTAGCAATTTTCGGCGGACCGTTCATTTAAGCCACAATAATACAATATCGTCTTACTGCACCCTTAGACTTCAACTGGTTTGCGAAGCTACCTAAAACCCATTGACGATGTCTGTGGACAAATCCGTTCGTTAATATCAAGAGCTGCGATTACGCTGTGTTCAGCAGCTTTCGTTTCTAATGACTCAGTTCTCAGACAAATGGAGGAATCTTCCAAGTGCACTAACGAAGAAACTTTAGTATCAGCTGTTACAGCGATTCAGGTAGCGACGCAAAGTTATTGCCTTCCTTTTCAACATTCAGTTTTCTTTTATTTTAAAGAAAGCGAGGCTTAATTATGTGATGGAAACATAACATGAAGCAGAAAGGAAGTTGTTCAGCCCAACGAGAGCAGATAGATCGAAACAAAAGCCAGACAACTCTCTGAATCCTATTTTTGTTCACATAATATGCGTGGATGTCACTGAAATTTTCAGGTTTGGGTTGAAAGTTCGACATTGAAGGAAAAATCACGCTGTGTTTGCTTAAATAATGTTAAAACCCATAGGATAAGTAGGTATTTTCGGGATTTCATTGGAAACAAAACTTGCGCTTTGGTTAGATGCGTCCAACTGAGTTTATAGCTTTAAACAAAGCCGTAAAATGTTGGTTTTGTGGATTGGTTTTTAGTAACGGTTTTTATTAGTTTGGTAGATTCGTCACACACCGCTGTATTTTGCTGATTATGCAAGTAATGCAATCTTAACTGTGTACTTAAATGCCTATAAAAACGATGGGGTCTATACAAGAAACATATCAATAATTTTAGTATAAACGCGATCACTATTGGTCAAAGACTTCATCCCACATGGAAACACAGCTGTCCATTTATTCCACATCCTGGTCTAAATTCATTTGTCGGAACGTGAAGTACGTGTTTAGTAATCGTGTTTACACGATGAGCTTTGAAGATTTTGGGAAAATGAGATGAATGCAGAAGTCCCTAATCTTCCCGCGACGTTTTTAATTCTTAGCAACAAACGTCAGACCTTATCGACGCCGCTTTGTGCCTTTGTGGCCTTTCAAATGATGTCAATGCCGTACGGTTTGTGCGGGTTACAGCCTGCGCTTTGGAGCGACTTACTCCCCAAATGATCAATGCTGCAAAGGCGTTTGCATTAAGGAATCAGACGTTAGTAAGTTTGATATGTAGAGGATTTAGTTTTAAGACTGAGTTGGTAACTGTTATGGCATCATCCATATATGTTCCCTGTGTGAACTCGGTGTGCCTTGTCATCACAGAGACATCACAAAATACCTAAGTTGGTTTACATTAATTCAAACTTTATGAGCAAAAATATTTTTTTCTCCCGGTACTTATTCCTTCATAAAACGTGGAAGCTTGCTTCATTTTCCGTAGCAAAATGGTGAGTGCAAGAACAACACTTATAAATTAGTGAATTTATCCTTCGAAAGGACTTATTTGCTTTTCGAGGTTAGAAACAAGTTCCCCCACCATGCCTTTTATAGGGCTAGGCGGGATCAAATTTGGTTTTATTTAATGTTTTACCTCTCCATAACATGGTTTTAAACGATCGGTTCAATGCGCTTTTGATACTCATTATTTTACTCTGTATGCGCAATTATTTAAATAATTATGTAGTGAGGGATTATGCAACTCCATCATCCTTATAAAATTATTCTGGCCAAACTTTAGATTATCAAGGAAAACTTCTCTCTCTTCCTTGGTGCCTACAAGTTTTTGGTACAAAAGCTTCGTGCGGGAATGGACAACATGACGGACGAATCTGACTTTCTGGAGACCTACGAAAAATTATTGCAAGGTGACATTCTGGCGTGTCAAGTAGAGGCTGAAGTAAGCGACGAAATGCCTCGATTTAGAACTTCACAATTTTGCTAATGTTGTAATATTTTCAACTTATTTGTTCTTTAACTGTGAAGAACAGATCTACGTTTAAGTTTAGTGGTAGATTTAGTTAAATTCACAGGACACACAGGACGTTTTGTAAAATAGCGCAATTCAACTGATGCAAGCGCTTCACGAAACGCCAGGCCACAGTTTTGGGCTTCCATGGTCAAAGCTTATAAGTTAAGGCGATCTGTAGAGGATACCGTAATTTGTTTAAATCAACTAACTTATGTATAAAGGCAAAGTAATTTCTAATCTCACACAGGGAATATCACCAGCAGTGTGTTAATATGCTAGTTGTCAAAACGATTAAACTAAATTGTCTCGAGAGGACTCATGTGCAATCAGCAAGTTAATTATAGCATTACATTCACCGGACGTAACAATGTGGACACGAAATAAACTCAAAAGATTTTTAAAGTTGGTGATCCCTCTATCCTCTAGCTGCGTACCAAATGGCTGACAAAAGGTCTCAAAGCAGATTTAATTTGCCTGATGCAGTTTCAGGTCCTATGAAACTTGATTTTAAGTCTTTGAATCTCCCATTAAAGATAAAAAAGTAATGCTGTTGTGTATTATGGCCTTTACTTCAGGCGGGGAAAACAGGTGGTCTCATGAATATGTCCCGGGTGCTGTCTGCCCGTTGCTCCCGAATTAACGAATTTATCCTTACTGAACTTGAGGCCTTAGAGACAGATGGGTCAGATGCGATTGAGGTTACTAAAATCTTGGAAAGCATCCAAGAAAATGTAAGTCATTCTCCTAATATACGGCGTCCTATAATATTTAAAATTAGCAGTAATTTTATAAATGATCAATTGCTATATGTTAATTATGAAATAGCTAGCATCACCTCGCTTTAACCAGTTAATGTAACGGATCATTCTTCTAAAGCTTACCTCTTCCTTCATCCTCTTGTGACTTATCCATAAATTGTAGTTGATGAACGTGGCCTAGTTAAAACTTTCATAATTGTTTATAAAACCAGTAAGAAATTACTAACTACCAAGGAAGTTTTAGATTCGATGTTAATGTGTTTGCCACTCATAGACAGCCAGCTGTAAAAGTTGCATGTGGACTACGGAAACGAAAGTCATATTTTAATTCTATATAAAGTTTAGTCTTTACAAACAATGAGATGAATTTAATTGCCCGACGCCAGTAATGCACAGCATTCGGCGACTGTGATGTTGTTAAACTTCATTGGCGCACATTATGCAAAGACATCCACTCATTTTCTCTTTAGCTAGTTCCGCAATTCTCAGAGGCTGCAAGGGAGTTTTGTCGTCACCTCCGGGCACGAAATGCATCGCTGAATTTTGAGAGCCTTCGCCACATTGGTGAGGCCATTCAGGGTGCATTTGCCGATATCAGGCGCATTTTGGGGACAATGTCTTTACACAGAAAAGATCATCACCAGGAGCTTGCAAAAACCTGCTTTAACTTACAATCTCCTCAGTCAGATAAACTGCGTCCTTCTCGATCAGTCGAGTACAACGGATCAGCGCTTTCGTGTAAGTGAATGTGCAAAGGTCTATTGTATTCAGTCGTTGACTTATTCGAGTAAAGTAACAAGAGAGGACAGGCTGATTTACTACAACATTCCCATGGGAAGTAAACTTGAAGCGATAACCAATCGTAAGTTTATCCATTGTGCATTCATTTCGTTACAACGATACATAGCCTGGTTAGAAGTAATTGGTAAAATTGAGTACATAAGGGATCGAGAAAAGTGTTTAAAGTGCAGTAAATCGGGGTATGTGATTTTGAGCTAAGATATGAATTTGAATAAGGACATTTTTTTGGAAAACGAATTGAAGAAACTAGGCACACTCTTTGATTTATAACCTCTAATAAATGGACATTTTTTATTCCAGTTATTCTGCTTTTTTGCTAAACCTCCATATACAGTTAGTAATTTACATGACAACGTGTGGTCTATGGAGCAAGTTCTTATGCTTTGGGTTTGTTCGAAAAGTTACATCAACTTTTTGATCCCTTATTTTCGAAACGATTCTTTGGAGATATTTGACTTAGCTAATTTCACACACTGTTGTTCATAGAGCGAATAGCCTATGCTCTACAATTTTCAGGTTAAAAGTATAAATTGACCGTAACTATGAATAATTGTGGCTTATGCGCGCACGCGTCTTCTCGTGTCGAAAACAGCAAACCGTTTTACTGAACGTCTAATAACCAGCTTGATTTGGTTCTAGCCTGAAATGTATTGTTTTTTTAAGCAATTAACCAACAGAAAAATGTGATTAATGTGAGTGTACGTTGTGAAACTTTGGGTGTATTTAAGGCCTAGATTACGCTAAAATTTATAGTTGGCTTAAATGGAAGGCTACCACTATGTGGGTATTTAACTAGAACTTCCTGTTTGTTATTTGTAGGAGGCTCTTCAATAGCCGTCACCGATGAAAATATCGGGCTTGTGATTATTATTTTCCTGCAGCTAACTCCATCCGTCTCCTTGTGCCAACCTTTCACATATTTGACTTGACTGCTAAAGCAATATGTTTAGTATTATTTTTCAGCTTTTCCCAATTAAAAATATTCCTTGTGGTTCCATTTGCTCCGATGTCCTTGGAGAGATCTCGTAGACATAGTAATGCCTCCTCCCATCAAAAGCCTGATACCTATTTCAGTGTATTCAGTAAATTTGCGCTTAGCCCCGTGAGTGGCTGACATTGTCATCGCACGCAACCGCTAGGCTCTTCCACCGAGTAGCCGCGACACATTCACCGAGTGCTTGGGGTGTAGAGTTCGAGGGCATGTTGAAGTTAGTGTTTTAGTAAATAATCGCCCAGTACTCGTGTGCTTAATGAGCAGCATCATTGACATCAACAAAGGCTTAAAAATAACCAAACTTTCATTAAATCAATGGAAGCTAGGTGGCACAACCAGTAAACGATTGTAGCCTGCCTATATTTTTAAAAGTAGAAGTATTGGGATATATGGCGGATATTTTGATTCCCTAATACAGTTGTCACAAGCGATTTCAGGCATGTCAGTTCACAGGACAGAAAAAGAAGTGCTCGTGTTTATTAAATTTTGGAAATACTTAGTATCGTAGGTAATTGTTTACACCAAGCAAAAAATAATTAATTCAAGAAGAGACTGAACTATAATTCTACAGCAAAATTTCATCAACAGAAAGAACAAATAGACCATTTAATCAAAAAATGTGTAAGTAAGCAGTATTAAGGAGAAAAAACTTAGACAACTATATATCCGTAAAAAGTGGCACTGATCTCTTTGAATAGAAAAAAGCAAAAGAATATGTTCGTAAGACAACATGATAGATTGAGACTATGCTGGATTGGTAGCCGGTGTCTTCTCTCGCCCACATTAAGGGCTTTTTTCGCACAGCCTGCGTCTTCATCGACCACTTTACCCTACTAGACTCGGTTAAGAGTTCAAGCACTCAGGGGTCGCAGTCGTCACCGCTTCATCTACTTCGAAACGAGGCGCCCGGGAGTCTTGTCGATGCGATCGATAGATTCTACGCTGAACGCACGAGTCTTATGGGACGGATTGGTGGATCTAATAGCAATGAAATTGATGGAGTAATTTCACTATCTCGAAGCATTTGCTCTCGCCTTACAGACATAATCGATCACTTGGAAAATGGCGGAAGGGGATCTATCATGACTCACACCGAACTCGTCCAGGTAGAGACCAGATGAGACCTTTGGTACTCATTTTTTCACAGTAGCAATAACTCGTTTGGCTGTTATTTAAGGTAGCTCGTGAGGTCTCGCAAATTGCGGCCGAAATAAATGGGTTTATCGAAGAAATTGCACGCAGCTCCTCTGATCCTAGTAATAAGATGGATCTACTTGATTCTGCGAGAAACATAACCTTCTGCTCTCACGAGCTGGCCAGTGCGAGTCGTGTCAAGAAGAACATGGATGCAAAAACTGACATATTTTTCGTAAGTTATACTTTTTACTGAAACCACTAATAACTTTTTTTTGTGCAGTCCTTCATTTTATCTTCCCTTCTATAGCTTGATAACGCCATCTCTTTAGTCTATTCGGCGAGCAGCTTGATGTCTGCTATCACGCAGGCCATTGACGGGGCTCAACTCGCCTCAGACCAAATGCCACTTCACCCTATCGCCGCCGATCCGGCAGTCACGCCTCGTCACATCGCCCGCGGCATCCGTGACACTGCTCCATCCACATTCGTCGTTAAAGTTGACCGAGCGTTTAACTTTACTTCTTAACATTTGTAATTCACCTAGTGGCCTTTTCCAAGTCTGGTCCGAACTATCTTCTCTGATACAGCGTCTCATTTTACTCAGCAATGTCAAAGATGTTCTTCTTGCTTTATTGATAAATTTGTCAAGTAGCATTGGTCAGGCCTGTTTTTTCTTTCTTAAGTCTTGTGAGTTAAGTTCATGGGCCTTTGTGTCACAGCAAATTTGGCTTTACTGTAGTGATTTGCTTCCACTACGTCAAAACCCCGCTTATTAACAGCCTGTAACAACCCGAGAACTGAGACAAAACTAGCAACACCGAAAACGACTGTTGATTAGCGTTAGGCTAGTTACGTGTCTTTTTAAAATTACGCAAATCGGCATCCCACATGCAGACTTTCATGTACTGACATTAACACATTGTATGTTATGCGCACTTTACCAAAGAATGTTTCCTGTTGACAACAAAATCGCACAAAATTACACCATCTAATTGTGGTGATATCAAATGAGTTTGTTGAGATCTTCGGTGCTATTCTGGGAACCACACCAGTGCCGACGATCTAAACTGGCACGGCCCGACCGAATGTAGAGTAGAAATGCAGATAGTGTGCAGCTCAACTAATTTATTGATGCGGTAGTGGTGTGCATATGCAACGTAAAAAGTCGATTTATATAGGATCTGCTAAACATCGATCCCCAAACCAGCACAGCTACGTGAAGTGCATTCACGTAACTCAATTGAATCCTGTTCGCTCACGTTTGCTGTGCTTGCTTGCTGATCGCCACAGCTCTCTTCCTTGGTAAAAGTTGAAGCACTAGGGTACAAGAGCGGCTAACCACAGAAACAGTCATAGTAGCCGCATGGGCGATGGAATGATGTTGTTACGAATTCAATTTCGCATATCGTTTCTCATTTTCGAAGAATTGGTCAGGAGGACGGCGTGTCCAATTTCTTTTAAGTGCCCGAAGCCGACAGGTCGGTGGGTGATTCGATGTGTATCCTCCAAAGACTAGGCAGCATCTAGCGATTTGAAATTATTTAGAGAATAGGATTGTGCCAGAGAATGAACGTCTTCCGGCAGTGATTGGAGCCAAAGACTAAACGTGGTTGAGCTAGGCAAGAGGTGGAGTACGAAACCAGGCTGATAAAGACGAGCGTTTAAGGTAAAAGCTAGGTTGAGCGACGGACAGAAACGGGACCTGGAGTTGGGCGGCGTAGAATTATAGCGGTCCCGCGTTAAGTTTCGAAGGATGGCAGAATTGTTTTAGAGGTGACTTTTTCGTGATACGTAAGAGGCAGAATAACCCCTCCATTTAAGTTGCACCCGAAAAGTGCTAATTGCCAGGTCGTAGAAGGTCGATAAGCGTTCATAAACAAGAATGCAGTCATGAAAATGAGTCGGATAAAATCAAAGGACCTTTTCTTCCACTGAAATATCAGTCGATGGTGTGGTGTGACGTCTGAGGTGGATGAGATCAGATGCTAGGGGAGCAGGCGAGGGTCGGTTGAGAACTGTAGCAAAATAAGCAGGAGCGAATCGCGAATGGGGATGAGCATAGCGAATAGTCAAAAATGGGCTGGATAAAATGAGTCAGACCGGTTCATAGGTCATCTAAACAAAACTTTGATTTTTAGCTTAAAAAAAGGCCAAACGTCGTCAATAGCGAGGTCATTATTTGTTGAGGCCCTTGGTACGGTTTTGGGTACCACATCAGGGCTGACGATCTGCGTCGAGAAGGTACATCTATCACCTCTAGACGCTGCCTAAACCCTTGATGATGAACAACGATTCCCAACACCTCCCGGTGACAACAAGTCATCCTAACACGGTCACTAAAATCTCGCTTCTCTCATTCTGGCCTAATCTCTAACCGCAATCTCGATACTCGACGCTTGCCTGGCAAGTCTCTACGATCCATTCTCTGCTTGGTTAACCACTCTCAACTAAGCTGCAAAACCTCAACTATCTGACGCCAACGCTCAGGCGTCACGCGCCACCTGTCATACGATCAGCCTTTCATGTATCCTACTAGAAGAAAAGGCAGTATCTGCAGCAGCAAAATCATTCCAAACGTCTTCCGAAAACGTACAGTTAAGCTACGTATTTCACTCACCATCCGGTGATGACTACTTGTTTCACTTAATCCAAAGTGTCTAATCATTTCTAAGGCCCTAATAGTCCACACCATTATTGCGCCCTATCCCTCAGAAATTCTATTGAAAAGTGGTGGTTCGTCCATCCAAAACACGAAGGGGAGATAAGTGGCTAGCAGGAAGCGAACACAGCAATCATGAGCGAAGATGATTCAATTGGTTTGCGTTCAGGTATCGATGTTTGGTAGGGCTATATAAACTGACTTGCTATCTTGTACACACACCTCAATATTGCCAATTAAAATTAGTTAAGCTGCGCGCTATCTGCATTTCCACTCTGCTTTCGGTTGGGCCATGTCAGTGTAAATCGTCGTCCCCAGTGTGGTTCCCAAAACCGCACCGAGCTCCACAACAAGTCTTTTTCGTCTTCGAACTTGCAATTGTCACCGGGTTTCTATAGGTGGCGTTGTTTCAAAGTAAATTGGCAACGTTGACAATAAGCCATGCACACTAGCGGCTAGTATATCACAAGGTTCATTAAAAATCGAGGATACAGTAAGTCCGCAAGTAGGTGGGTGCCAAAAACATTGTGGCAGGACCATCTTTAAGCACGTTTGTCGGAGCAATCAAATTAACCAATGACTTTCGAAGTCAAGAAAGGTGCACTGAGAGGGTTCTAGCTCAGTGGAGGCAGCAGAATAGAAGAGACCAAGCACAGGAAACTACCATGGGTACATAGATAGCAAATTATGAATTTTCGTGGTGAAATGTGACAGGGGAAATTGCATCACGGGACCATAGCAAATGCCATTTCAATTCATCCGGAGTTATTTGACGCGCTTAAAATGATTTTTCTTTCGAGATTATTCCACACTGTCATTGCAGCCATGGTTTGGTTTTATTCACAAGTCTGCACCTGGATGTGCCGAAGCGTGAGCTTGATATCGAAGCGACGTGAGGCTGTCATGGTCCCAGAGCACGGCAGTGCCGGTTCCCTACAGGCGTCTGCTCTCACTAATTTTCAGGTCTATTAAATCCTCGGCGCACGTGGTAACCTGTCGTTAACCTAGAGGCAAACTCCGTCAGGTGGTATGACCGCACTAAGATATCTAAAAATCCATACATGCATGCAGGCCATTGTCTAGAAAAGGCTTAATGGTCTTACCCACACTCTCCATTGTTTTCCACAAACCCTTCTTCATGGTGAACGTGAACCGCTTTTTCAGGTTGGCGTAGGAACCATGAACACTGATGACCAGTGTTGGTGGCTTGAGCTGCCATGTTGACGACAGAATTCGAAGAATTTGCTTTCGTGTCGGCACTTTCCCTACACTCACGAACTATGCACGTTATAAAATGAAACGTTTGAATTAGTTAGTGCAGAATTAAGTGAACTAATCTTTTTTTATGGTAACCAATAGTGTTTTTGCAAAAATAACTTACTTGGATAATTTGAGAACTATTTTAGCTGCCGTATTATTACTGGACTTCAATCTTATTGGAGTTTAAATTGTAACATCTTTAAGAAATGGATAGTATAATTTGAATTTAGGTGGCACCTGGAATGTTTGGCACAGTGTGTTTCTTGAACAAATTATTGTGGCCACAGTTACTTTGTTATTTTAGTACGATTTTACTAACAACTACGGATTGACTCCACAAAGTCGCCGTTTTAAATGAAAAACCGCATCACATTTTTGATGTTTCGTAAAGACTAGTCCCAATGGACGTATCAAAGTCAATTTAGTAACCTGATCATTACTGTATACAATTTCCTGCGATTTATTTGTCATTCGTAATGTTTTCATGATCTTAAATACATATGTAACAGCTTACGTGCAATTTAAACTGTTGCAACTTAGTTAATTAAGTACTCGATTTCATTTTATTTTTGTATAATGCCTAACTATCTTCGAAATACTTACGTAGAGCAAAATATTTGAAATTGACCTAAAAGGGTAACCTTAATACATCCTAGTGGGTTAAGCTATGATCAACTATCTAGACATTGGTTCAAATTTGTACAAAATAATAAAATAGAAAACTTAAAATTTTACGAAGCAGAGTGGCAACTGTGGCCATGTCAGTAAAACGTAGTTAATTACAAAGACTATGTGGTCACCAGAAGGAAAACAAAGCCCATCTATGATGGTAAGTCTGATATGCACACCATAAATGTCAATGTCAACAAGCCATATTTCCCCAAAATAACTCACTTTAATGGGCTCATCAAGGCTAGTGAATAAAACAGATCCCCTAGCAGACACATCTTCGTCTGATAAAGGCTGTGAAAACGCAAGGTCCTCTTCGTTTGACTGCCGTTGTTGACCTGAGCACATTGTTCTTGGAATTGACGACTATACTTGCTCCCCACTGCATCACACAACACAGACCATGAGGGACGACGCTTTTGGTTGGCCACTGCCTAGTTCCGGAGTACCGAGGAGATGCTGGATATGAATTGAGAAACGCCCTTACCGGAAACTCAGCATTGCGTGAGTTGGGCAGAAGTAAAAATTCTTGCCATTAATTTTTCAAGAGGTGGAACTCAAACTGGATAGTGCAGAAGAGGAAATGATTGCAAAGAACTTGTACAATTTAGGATTTGTGAATTAGTGGTCACAAGGAATTTAGACTACATTAAGATGGAAGTTAAAAAAAAAATTAATTCTGTCGTCAACGTGGCAGCTCAAGCCACCAACACTGGTCATCAGTGTTCATGGTTCCTACGCCAACCTGAAAAAGCGGTTCACGTTCACCAT